AAGGGTCGGCTACAATCGAGGACTGAGAAACTCGTTACGTTGTTCTCATCACATGAACAATCTCCTCGGTGCAATGCTTCGTCACGCAGAAATTCCAAAACGAATTTCTACCCCGAAGATGACGATGAAGATAATACGAAATTCGCAATAACGCAGAAAGGGACAATTGCATTATTTTGTAACGCAAATTCTAGATAGAATGTTTACTTTCAAATTGAAGAATTTTTGTTGTTGTATTATATGATGTTATATGTTGCGCTTGTCAATTTAGCAAGCATTAATCCGGCAAACACCGTAATGTTTCACTGCTGCACTTCTATATGTAACAAACACCGCGTTACGCAGTGATGCACAAGAATACTTCAGTAGCTTAATTGATCAAAGGGCGTCAACTAACTGTGGAGATGCTCGTCAAACTCTGCTTATCCCGTGGGAAGCTCTTTGACGTAATCGCGCCGTAAACATACGAAATAAAGTGGCTAATTTTTTCTGATTTTATTTTCACTCGCATTAGCTATATATACAGTTATATCGCGGAGATCGACGATATATGATGGAGACGTTTACAATTAGTCTCCAATTTGGCCGTGTTCCCAGGCATCATGTGTAAAATTTTTTTGTTATATATTAGGTGTTAAATAGTTATATATCAAAACGTAAAGAGAACATGATTTATCACGCACGCTACTGCCGGCCAATTGTCTATTTGCCATCGTCAAACGTGACATTTCGTATCTAGCAACAAGTTCGTTCGAGCACTTGCTTCACCGCACGTAACTTCAAATCGTTTTGAACCAAGGCCAACGACGCACCGAATATACCTTTTGTCGCCTCGCATGAAACAACGTCGTATTTTCGTGCTCGAGTTAAATGGAATTTTACAAGTTCAATCGACCGGTAACAAGAAAATAAAGCTATCGACGGACGTGACGAAAATGTTAAAGTTGTATAATGTATTTTGTTGGAATTATTTCATTCCGGTGAATTATTTGACTTGTGATGACATTTATTGGGCATTTATATATGCGTTTATTCTACATTCTTACGTTCTTCACAAAGGTTTTATGCAGTTTCAAATAGTTTTTTTGTATGAAAGTAACTTTGTCATGTATACATTATATATTCGAGTCTTTTATTCTAGTCGACAATACTTAAATAGGGTAAACTCGGTTAAGATGGCCATAGAGGGAAGATGGCCAACACATGTTCATTTGATGTTTCATGACGAGCTAGATTGAAAGAACATAGGTTGGCTATCTTTCCTCTATGGCCATCTTACCCGAGTTTACCCTACTACTTTAAAGACAATATATGCAAATTGTATTATTTTACTTCGTAAATTTTTTGTTTATTTGCCAAAAAGTATAATAGATATATATTATTATTTATTTATAATATATTTGGTATAATAGTAGCAAATGCGGTTGAACTGCAAATATCAAGTATATTCTGAATCGTCTTTGCCTAGAATAATGAAATGCAAACGAATGATCCTCGATGCGAAATGACAATGGTCGCAGACTGTGAAAATGTAATCTGGCGGATGTGAAAATTCAGGCTGATGATAAAGATGAATAGAAATACGAGGCAAAAGTAAAAAGATTTGCAGCAACGTGGCAACTGCGATTGCATTTTTTGCGACAGGGCGGCACTAATCCCTTTTGGCTGAAAGCCCATCACAAGAACCGAGTGCAGACCGGTACCTTTCAGTATACGCGCAAATCTGCATGCCATCCTGCCGAAAATTATACGGCCCGCTCATTTTCTTTCTTTTTCATTCTTTCTCTCTCTCTCTCTCTCTCTCTCTCTCTCTCTCTCTCGCAATTAACTCCTCGCGGACTCTGACCACTATTATTCTCAATTCGCATACAAAGGGTTCAAATCGCGACTTGCCGATAACGTTGGTCGTTGGTCGTTTTCATTTTGCGCGAGTCATTGATGTGGGTATAATTTCCGATGTTCACGAACTCTCGAGAGCCATTAAGAGTGCAAGCTTAAATTCCCGCATAATAAGGGTAATTTTCGATATATGATTATCGGGGCAGCTATACCGATATAGAAATGTGCTGCGGGCGATTTGTTGACCAAAAATTATTATAGTAATACTTGAGTAATATTGTGGTATTATTATAGTACTTAATTATAACTATATTATTACTATGCAGTGTTAAATTATTAATGCTAATCATGATTATTTTAAATTGACGAAAGAACTTTAGCCACTAATGTTGATCAATAAGATTAGTATCTATATATTTTAGATGGCGGTAAAATATATATTTTAGTACATCCTAGTGCAAAAAATCTTCAGACTCATAAATTATTAGTACAGTTGCGATCGTATTATCGCGTGCGCGCACGATCAGAAACACCGCGTTCGATCTTCGGCGTCTCGGATCTCCGCGAGCATTTTCAGAAACGGGCGTACGTGACTTCCGGAGTGGCGCGTTTGTTCCACCGCCTGTAAATTTCTCGTTCAGGAATTCTCACTTTTTGCAGCGCTTCTTGCGAGGATTACGTACGGGAGAAGCGCCGCGCGCGTACCAACTTCCGTTCTGTGTGCGGACCTGTGTGTGTGTCCTATGACGTCATACGGCCGGAAGGAAGAACGGGAATTCTATCTTGAATTAGCGATCACCGGACGTTCCGCATTTTTTTTTATTTATGTATGCAAATGCTCGGAGATTGCTGCGATTATTTAATCAACACACGTTGGAATTTCTATCCGTAACAATTTTCCTGAGAGAGAAAGAGAGAGAGAGAGAGAGAGGAAAGGGTTATTTAATTAGTCAGGCAATTTATATCAACTGCATTCCAGAAAATTATTGGAATTAACATATCGGATTTGTTGAACTATCCAGAAGTATAAACGTACAAAATTATCATGAATTTATATTATACGATATTCTCTCTCGTTCTCTTTAAATGTGTTAATTAGCAAATCAAATTTTATGCGTAATTATGCCATGCTATGTCAGAATTTCTGATTTTAATAATATATTTTTATATATATAATAAAATGAGATTAATGAAAGATATTGGGAAACGCGAATTTGTAATTTTTATACAATTTTATTGGAAGAATACTCTCTTTTTATCTTGTGAGATTTTCGATGTTATCACGGTTGCGTAATTGATGCGCTGAGGATTATCAAACGGCCGAAGTGGGCGGAGATTCGCGATGAAGGAATAAGTGTGTGAGAACTTCGCGTAACAATCTTCCAATAAAAGATAATAAATTGCATCTTTTGTAGGCGAGCGCAAATTGAAATATTTATCTCGTGGGAAAACGCGGCTGGCGAGGCGCGTTTGCGCCGTATTTAGATTGAAATTCAAAGCGGCCTGTAGGTCAAAAGATCACACCCACGTCTTATTTTTTCGTTGTAATAACAGGGTAACCTGCGCGAAAGAGGTGAACGGGTCAGAGCGGGTGAGGGATTTCTTCGTGATTTTCACAAACCCTAAGGCAAGGGAAGGGCTCGCCAAGCCTTTAAGCCGAAAGTCTCGAAGTTTACGTAAGGCTTCTGAGAATTGACAATGCTCGAGAGGAGTTTCCGGGGACTCTCAGAAGTCTGCCCAGTATTTTTCTATCGAGGTTGGATTTCGATTCGACGGGAACGTCGGGAACGGATAGATCGTGCTTTATAATTCATAAAAGTTAAAGGTTAACGGTTGGTGAATCTCGTCGGACGTATAATAGAACTTTTTTTTTAGTCGAGTGACGTTATTGAGACACGTTTTGTTTTGAAGATATTACCAGTGTTTTTCGCTAAAGTTCAGCCGAACATTTTCCACGGTAACAGATCTGTGTGAATTTATGAATAATATAATTATAATGTAAAGAATTTTGTTCTTTTAACATTTTTCGCGATTTTATTCTATATAGGGTCACTATCTTGATATCCAGATAAATTTAATTATCCTACGAGCCTATGCGAGAAGTGGAGATCTCTTCAAAGTTTGAAGGGTCGACAGAACGGATATTGGAAGACCAGAGGCGAACGGTTGGAAATCGTAAGAAAATGCATTGAAAGCGAAAACGGAGTTTTCCATCGCGCAGAATCATGAAAAGGGGGGAAATTAAACTGTCACAAGTTTGAGAAACGTCTAGACGTTCTGTCGAATCAAATAGGAACAAAAGAAAAATATTAATTTTTAATTATTATGAAATGTATGTGTTCGCGCTCAAGGTGTTTATTTCACATACATTATTATTCATCATACGAAGTAATATCATCCACATTTTTTATTTCTTTGCATGAAGAATAAGTATTATACCAAAAGTTGCTGTTGAACGATGTGACAACGTGCAATTTAGCCTGATAAGATTCGAAAAGTTTGATGCTTGGGGGGATATTAAATATTTTTTAAACAACGAAATATACGAGAGGCGTGTTGTATAAATGCGAGTAGATACAATAAAGGCGGAAATACTTTCATGGCGAAACTTTTCACATCAGCAAAAAGCACTAGAGCGATATCGGACCTACCACTCTGTGGAGAGATGGTTATGTATATTGTAGACAACGTAAATTAAAGTTCTCATCGCTGGTAATTACTGTTTTGTCCGAGTTTCAGTATTTTCCAAGTTGCATTGCATTTATCTGAGGCTTTTCTTTGCGAGCTGTATAATTCTCCACTTTTTTAAATTTATATTTTTAAATAGAAACATGATATTACGAGATTCTTTTCATTTGGATATCTATATATTATCGCAACTTAAGAAATTATATAAGAATAAAAATTAGATTGAAACATATAGTAAAAACCAATTAGTGTATATAATATAATTATTGAAAATTATTAGTATGGATTATGCAATAATCGATGTATATAATTTATTACATTTACATTGATATGATTATTCAAATGGACTCGCTACTTGTCGATCAATACAATCAGGCAGTAATCAATAACTATAGAATTGCGACAATCGATATAAATTATTTTGCGATTATTGCCTATAATTATACATCAGAATTTCATATAAGATATCTTACCTTGTGGGCTTTTGTCTTTCCTCCTGCGGCGATGCCTCTTTTTTTGCATTTCCTCGATATAATTCGAGGATGAAGAGTCATCGTGGCCCGGAAGCTCGTGATTTTCATTCGCCGATTTTTTCATCTCTTCTTGCCTCCTTTTCAGCAGTTCGTAAACTCTCTTGAAGTAATCCTTAGTGATGTCCTCGTTCGATTTGTTCGCTAGCGAAATCTTGCCGTTCAGATAGCCGAGATCGCTATCGGAACCGTCGACACCGTTTATCTTCGAGTCGTTCGCGCGTTCCTCTAGATCCTCGCTTCCGTCGACGATTTTGAAAGTATCGCTCTTCTTTACATTCGAGCGCGTGTATAACTGCCGATAGTCCTTGAAGGCCCTCTTCGAGGGGATCGAGTTGTACCCGAAATCCGGGGAATTGATATTTAACGTGGACGCACTGCCAATGTCGTTGCCGCGATTTTTCACTTGAATTTTGGCGATGATCGGCGATTGGCGCTCGTCCGCGTTCTTCTGCCCGACGAGCAAGTAATTTTCCTGCAAGCTGGTGCCAGGTCTGCTGCCGTTCATCGACGAAGTCTGGTCTTCGGGAACTTTCGCGACGGTTTCTTTTCTCGGCAATCGCTCTCCGTTCTCCTGACGAGTTTTCTCGTTCTGATCGTAAAGCGGGTCCACGCAGTTTTTCAAGTTTTGACAGACCTTGCAGTTGCGCGAGAAGCAGGGATCGCGTTGCAGGTCCTTCCATCTCGGTTTACTCATGAAGTCCTCTTCGGGCACTTCTCTTTCCGATTCCCGACGAAGTCTTTCAGTTCGTTTTCGCTCTTTGTATTCCCGCCAGGACTTCTCCACATTCTCCGGGCTCTTTATATGTCTCGGGGGATTTGCGAGGTCTTTGGCGCTGTCCGCGTTGACCGCCGCCATCGCCATTTGTCCGAGCAAAACGTCGCTCTTGGTTTTTCGGTAGACCTTCCTTCTATCCAGACTCGACGATTCTCTCCTTGGCTGCGATTTCGATCGATTATCCGATTCTGAAGCTTGGACTAACGCCTCGCTTCTCGATCGTCGATAGTTACGTGACTGTCTTTGAAGTTGAGAGTCCTCCAAAGATCCTCTGCAGTTCATTGATCTCTCCTTCTCCGATTGTCTGTTGGACTTGAGTTTCTCTCTCTCGATTACCTCGGGATTGAATCGCAAAATACTCGTCTCGCTGCGCACCTTTCGCGTTCTGTAGTTCTTCTGATTTTCCTCGTGACTGTAGTCCGAGTATCTTTTCCTGATCCCGGCCTTTTCGAGAGTCTCCGGAACATTGGCGCGGCCGCCCAATCTCGAACATGCCTGTTCCATATTCATTCGCCTCTGTATCTTTTCGCGTAGAAACGCTCTGATTCTCGCCAGCTCCTCCTCATCCATGTCATCCTTTATCTTGCGAACGACTCTATCCCCTTCGTTCGACTTGGAACTCTCCTTCGCCGAGTTCTCCGTCGGGATTAAGGCGCTTCGGGTTCGCAGATACGACCTTACTTTTTTGTTTTCTCCATTCGAATTTTTTTCTTCAGAATTGATCGTATTGTTCCTCTTTAAATTACGATCTTTGGCACACTTCTCATTCGGTCTAATAGTGTCCTTCGTTTCGTTTCCACTGCATTCTTCCTCGTGAACTAAACTCAGCAGACTCTCGCTCTGACTTCTCAAGTACGCCTTAACCTTTCTGCATCTGTCTTTGGCGACCTCATCCGGAGTTCTCCCGATTGTGCTACGTGTACGTAGATCGTTCATGATTTGCTGTCGGAGATAATCCCCGGCGGAGTATCTCTTGTATCCATTCGCTGTTTCTTCGATGTTTCGTTCGAGCTTCGCCTTCATCGTCGGATCTTCCACGGTGGACGAGTGTCTCTTCTTGCCCCGTCCCTCTTTGATATTAACGTCGCTTCGAGATTTTCGCGGAGCAAAGTTGCATGTACCGAATTTGTTACTGAAGCCGTCGATATTGCGATTACTCGGAAGCGTCACGACGAACGAGGCGGTGGACGATGTCGACGGTGAGGACGTTTGCTCCTTGCTCTTCGAGCTGGCCCTGGACTCGTCGGCGGAGAATTGTTCGTGAGTCCTCAGGCCCTCTTTGAAGGATCCTCTCGCCCGCTGCGCCGTTCGGCCGGTGGTCTCCACTAGCAACCGGCCGTCCTTGTCCAACAGCTGGATGACGGGCAGCGCGTCGGCGGACGTCGTCAGTTCCCACTCCCAGTGCAGCGGTTTCTGTAGCTTTAACCGGATGATCGGCTCCGCCGGCTCGCCAAGATCCGTGGAATCTGGACCGACCGGACTGGAAGTCGTCGCGCTGACGATCGGATGGGCGTTCTTCATGGTCTCGGTTCTTCTCTCTGGTTCGCTCGTTTAATCGAGCGTTCGCGCTCGAATAATCTGCCGGAAAAACCGCTCGCTCGCTCGCTCGCTGATCGTCCCGATTAATTTCTCGTTCCGAACGAGTTCGTCGTCTCTGGACTTCTTAACGGGTTCTGCCCTGCCTCGATGAATTTCATGGGGCCCGAGAAAGATCGCCTATCGCTGATCGTTGTCTCGTTTCGTTGAAACGCGCGTTTGTTCACGTCGTCATTCGCCCGATGGATTTTTATTTTCGAAATGAAACGATTTAGAAAATAATAATAATTTTATTGAAGTGTATAAATGACATGAAATATCATGTCATTATATATATATCGTATAATTATTCTACACTTTGAGGAGCAATCTCGTGTTTATCACAATTAAGAAATGATAAATAAAATTCCGTAGCGCGCCACTCTATGATCGCGAAAAGGATATTGCACGTACACTTCACACGATCGTTATTCGCGTCCAGATAACTCTCGATTCCTGTGCCGTGTGATTCAGAATCGCTGTCGTTCGGCCGTCGCTCGCTTAGCGATAAGTTCCGAGTTAAAACTGCAGTCCCGTTTTCTGCGCGACCGCGAATAGCAGCCGCGCACAATATAGTATGGTCTCGCGCCGTGGCATTCGAGTTGCCGCACTCGCTGCGCGATCACATGATCGACGACGATCCCGAGACGGCGGGTTGCCGGTTCGTTCGCTTTCGCGGACGCGTAGTCCAAGTTCGCACGCGTTACATGGCGTTATGTAACGCGACCTCGCGGACTTGGCAGCCTGTCAAATTCGCGGCGGCGGAGACCTGAGACTCGAGTCAACTTTCTTTCTTCGCAGTTGTCGCGGTGACGGTGGAAGAGGAAGGAGAAAGAGGAAGAAAGAGAAAGACAGAAAGAGAGAGAAATACATACACACAGTTTCGCGTCACGTCTCACATTGCGAGCCGATTCGCGGAAGATGCATCTTCCAGCGTGCCGCTCGTAATTTGCAAAAGGCGATGGGCTGCACTCGTGAAACGATACCACACGTGCGGGCACACGACGGTGTGTTTATATGCATTTGTATTGCAGCGGGCGACGTTAAATATGTCTTGGCAACGTATGCACATAAGTGAGATGCGTAATTCTCGATTAAATTTTATCGAAATTTTCTTGTTGATAATACCGGCAATTTTTTAACTTTTTTTCCTCGGTAATAAAACGCGCGAAATGTCACACGCACTGATGTGATGTATTTTGAATTGATCAAATGTCAGTTAACCGACAGCACGTCGCGAATCGCTGTGTAAATCGCAGATCCAATTTTCCAATGTTTCAATACTAGAAACACATGTATGCACTTTCGAGAAACATTCGAGGATAAAGGATTCGAGAGCGAAAAATACTTTTAAACGAGCGCGAGTTTAATTGCGCGCGAGTACCTTTTTGTAGCTCACTCGTCGGGTTCGTTTGTTCGTCTGGAAACGCGCGATCGATTACAGACTCCACGGTCGTCGCTTCTGCCCGTGTTCGGCGATGGGCGTTTTTGATCGGTCGATCGGTACATCGATTAATCGTCGCGTGGACTTGAACGGCGGGCAGCCGTGGACCTCACTGAGGGATCGACAGTGTAAGAAGCGAATCCGGGACTGTGCGGCGCGGCACTACTGTAAACGCGCCCGGTGGCGTCATACCGTTCCGAAAATAAATCCCGCGGGATCCATCGGGTAGGGTGCAGGAATTCCGGCACGTGGGACGTGTCACGAATATCAGCGGAGAGACTCGCCTGTGTTCTCGTCGCTTGCGCACAGGTGCTTGCACGAGCGTGTTTAGCGTGCGTGGGCGAAACAGACGAACCGAATCGTGTTCGGTTCGTTTCGTTTCGCTTCGGAACCGGTGAACGCATAGATCTAATTCAGCATACAAAGGGAATTAAGGCTTTATCAAGAAGAAAATACAATGAGAACTGTGACTTTGCGAAGGATCTCTAAAACGGCATTATTTAATAGGGTTGTAAAGCTTTCTCGCGTGGCGTGCGTGGATTGCATTGTAAGCTCTTGAAGATAATTTTATAAATTTAATGTCTCACATGTATTTTATTATTCTACGAAGATGAAGTGTCTTCGTGTTATTAAGCAATATTGAGGATCGTAAAAAAAATTTATTTTTACTAATCGAAAGTAAGTTAAATAATTTCTGAGCTTGAGTTTGTAAATCAGTAAGTTAACGTTGAAAACATGCGTTATTTGAAAGTAGTAGGTGTAAGTTTAATTTTAAATTCACAAGTTCAGAAACTATATTTGCGAAACTTAAATTCTCTTCTGAATAACATTGCGATGAGTAATACGAATTTTAGATATATCAGTATTCGTCCCATTTCTTTTATTTATAAACTCCAATTATTCAAATAAATTTTATTTTGCATCAGGATGCCGAGAAATCAATAATTCGCAAGTGATGAGTTATAAATAAGTTTTCGCGATGCAAATGAAGAAATCTTATTCTTTATACATAAATTTGAATTAAATTTGACTTAAGTTGAAAATTTATAAGAATTTATAGAAAAGAAATGTTATTTCGAGACACCCTATATACACATTTGCTGCCAAACGCCGGTCGATCAAGATGATGATGTCGGCCAACAGCTGCGATCGATGCATCTCAAGGATGGATCAATGCCCCGAGAGAAATTTGTTTACGATCGATCGTGGGCAGGGTCGACGAACATAGACGAGCGCATACATGTATCACAAGTGTGTGCAGGATTATGCTATGTATAGATTGTCAATTCGGTTCACTCTTCATGTTCTTTTTTTTACGCACATCAAAACCAGTAACTGCAGCTATCATAAAATTGGATGTCGCAACAGAAATTTCTCTGGAAAAAAAATCGTGCTCTCTCGCAAGTTAAAAATATTTAAGCTTTCAAAATTTACATTGCGTGGTGTGACGCAATTCTGGTATCTGGTAAGCAAGTTTCGCTCCTAGCCGAAGTTTCGAATTAGCATAATATATGTATTTCCAGATCCGCATAATACTCCTTAGGAACGTGTATCTTCCGCGATTCGCGAGCTACATTTCGTATTTTACATACGATGACGAAGAATATTTAACTTCAACATGCACATCTCTCCAGGTGTGTGTAACCGAGCGCCTTTCGTGATGTGAATCGCTTGTGAGTTGAGGAATATTTTAGCGACGGAGAAACGCGCGCGTTGCGCGCGATGTCAGGCGTCATGAATAAAAAATTGGCCAGTATCCTTTTACGATCGAGTGTGCTCGACTCGCCGATTCGCGATGCGGTGACCGCGTCAAACTGGTTCATGCGTTGCTCAGTTTGCTCGTAACAGGCTCTTTATTTTTATCCAACGTGCCCCCGATATCGCAGAGTGTATCTCGTAACATCGCGCTGTGCTAAATTCGGATAAGGAAACGCGCCATATGCGCTCTTTCGGAATCTATGCGTCCGATGTTCGACACGTCGGTCGATCCAAATTCGGTTCGATAATTACCTGTCATGAGACGGGTGTCCTTATTTTGGTTTGAGTGTAGAAATCAATGACTGGGATTAATAGAAGTGGAGTAGGACTCGCTCAATGCCTCTCTATATTTGCGCTGAGATAAAGTTCGTCGCGTGTCATTAACCGATTAGCTGCGAGCCGCGGCGCGCTTATATAACTCGCGAGAGGTGTGAGTCAAGAGAAGTATAATTGCCAGAAATTGTCACCTGAGTCATCTCCAGGGATTATTTTTAGTATATTGCATTGGGGCATACATTTCTAAGCAAAATGCGGGTTTTAGAGGGAAAAACACACTTGGTATTATTTCTAAGTATAATACTTGCAATATAAAGACATATTTTATTACGTATATTTATTCGAAATACCTATTAGTTTTAATAACAAATATGTAAAGTGAATATTGCACTTTGGAGGAGGAAAAAAACAAGAGTTGCAAACTAAATTTTGTATATTATTACAAGCAACGATGGAACTTACGGCAGGACTGGCACATGGGAGAAAAACATTATTATATACAGCATAAAAAATAATAATTTATTTTAGCATCCAGCGGAAATATAAACGTACAGTACTGGGAATTACGTCTATCTGAACGAATATAAACGAGAGTTATGTAGTTTGACAATAAATTGCATCACCAAGTATAGCCAAGTGTGGAGATTGGCATACATGGTTTTGTCATTTATATATAAATCTCTCCTAAATATTATAAAATACTATTAATGTCCTTTGTGCATAAAAATGCATCCAGGGAAAAGAACGATGAAATTGTTCTAGATTAGTCCTTTGCACGATCGCTTTTACTCTATATGTTACTTCTAATAACAAGTCTCCTAGCTCTTTTTGCCAGATATCATTAAATGTACAGGATATTCTCTGTACGTGACATCTTTATTATATCACGATTCGCTAATAAAAAAAGTTTACTGTAAATACTGGATTCACTTATCAGAAATAATTTAAAGCGCAACTTTAAAAGGTATCAATATAAACAAAAATAATCATAAAACGACTTCGGTGGTTATATTAAAATTAATTGTTATTGTATATCACCGTCTGATGTACGAAAGCGACGTTGAAAAGGAACCGCCGTTCTAAAATGTATTGCTTTCCTCAGACAGAAAACGCATTTTTTCAGAATGCACCTACGCGAAATCTGCACTTGAATAAACCTATCTGTATGTCAATTAACGTTATATAAAATGTACGTATAATCAACGGAGAGATTGCTCACATAGCATTTTACAGAATCGTCACCGCGTAATAATACTTATACATTTATTGTGTACATACATGTAGTTATATATGATAATAATACGCGCAGCAAGTGTTGTGTGTATATGTGTATATACAATATATATATATATATATATATATATATATATATATATATATATAGATGTATGTGTATATGTATATGTATAGATATGTGCATATAATAATACTAAATCGTACAACAATAAGCATTTCCGGTATGGCTAACTGAGATACGTCGCTTTTAATTCGCACAATGCACTTGCCACGATAAATCATAATACTTACAATAAGTCAACAGAACTACTATTATGTAATTATAAGTGCGTTACGTCTCGTTTATCGCGAAATTGCACGTTTTTTTTTCAAAGGAAATTGCTCTATATCACGTATTACCGCTTCATCGTAAAAAGTACTTTCGTGACGCTCTGAATCCTTATTGCTGTAAGCTGGTCAGATAAGAACTTGATAAAAGAGGATTATACACTACCGCAATAAACATTTTATATTACAATATTGTTATCGATTTATAAAAAAAGAATCACTTAAAAGAGAGTGAGTTCTATTGCAGTGAAATGAAACAATAGGTACTTGTTATTACGGGAAACATTTAATGTCGCGCATTTTTATATTTCAAATTAGTCGTATGTTATTTCTTAGTCTATTTTCTGCTGATTATTTTATTTAAACGAATTAAAAAGAGATACAATACGGATTCACTACGTAAAATTGATGTCAACGAAATGTACTTTTTGCGGCGCTTTGTATCTGCAAGTAGTATTAAACCTATAGTCGTATGCTCAGACTTAAGTTAATTCTGGAGTCCTTGCCAGTCCTGAATCCTAGCCTGGACCAGCCTGAACTAAACCAACATACCGAGACACACGCGCAATATAAATGGCGCAACAAGTGTTTAGTGTATTTCGCTGTTATTCTATTCACGTAAATTAAAACAATGGAATACGCGCGATTTTCCTGATATACTGCGTCGTCGAAAACTCACAGGGAAGATCTCGACAATAACAGAGCTACAAGCAGTCCTTTCAGAAGTATGTATCTAAAATATTCACAGTGCTCAAAACTAACGATACACGGAGCTCCCAAGGGAAGAATAGATCTACGCGAGGCGAATTTTTACAGCTTCTGTATAATCGCGCTGTATAATATGTTCCTTCTACGCGTAGTATCTTTTTTATCTTTTAATATAAAGTCACACAACTTTACCTTGAATTCGTCATCTAAGACGAAGTCCGTTTTTTAAGTCATTTGGTTAAAAAAACGTCATAAATATATAATGATACGCGAATGTGTTTGCATAATGTATGTGTTTAAAATGAGAGCGTTTGAAAATTCTCTCAGTCATTGTTACAACATTCGCCTTTGTTATAGTATCCAATTAATTCTTTAAACACAATTGCAGGAATAATAAGAACACTAGAAATAATTTCATATCAGTATACAAGGTGAAATAGTGAATAAAAAGAAAAGAAATCTGTGCTTTGCCGAGAAAACAGCATGGAGTATTTTACGAGTCACAAACCGAACAATTGCTTGGCGGAAAAGAAAGTATCGTGTAAGTCTTTTTCCATAAATCGACGAAATTCGTTCACGGTCAGGAATATCCAGACCGCGTTGCAGTTAAAGCACTCGAACTGGAGTAGCGAGCGGCCTGTTTGCCGAACGATTCACCGCGATCCTCGAATCCTTTTGGAACACACGGAAAATTTGGTCATTGCAAATCCACTCGTTGCTTTTATCGGGATCCCGCGCGACCGGCTTATTGAAACCGGATTTACGCGCGTGGCGTATCTCGCTTATCGGAACACGTGACGTTCAGCTAAATGAATAGTTTCAATAGATAAATCGATACTGCAATTTCAAAGTTTATAGTTGTTATTTAATGAATTCATGACATAAACGTGAAATTGTGGTTTCACGGCGGTATAGAAAGTAAATAGAGGAGGCATGTTAATATTTTGCGTAAAAAAGCGGACTTTGTCTTTGAGATAAAATCTGAATCCATACGTACTCAGAGTTTATAACACACGATGTGCATTAACAAGCGGAAATTACTCTTTAGCAGGCATTATATAGCGTTGTAAAATCTATTCTTCAGTTGGTAGCGAAAATTAAAATACTTACACAGGGATTCGACACGCAATACTTTTTTTTTTGAGACTCGGAGCAACGACGACTCGTAAAGGCTACGTGTGTTATTTATATAGTACAGTAAAATACGAGCTGTGGGGTTTCTGGTTTTAAAACGAAGCGATTAATACCTGAACTCTGTGTTTGATCGGCTACTGCATGTATCTGAAAAAGAAAAAAAAGACAAATTTATTTTTCAGATTATAACACGAGTTTATTTTTGAACGCATTTTTGGAGTGCATTTTATTTTAATAAAACTTTAATTTAAACCTTAATAAAATTATGAAATTATTACAAAAGTATTGCGTTTAATGAAATGTCTAAGATTTTCTAATTAGAAAGATCCATGGAATGTGTGATCAAGAAGTACACAAAAAAGTGCTCGTTAGATGATAAACGATATAATAATAATTATTATTAGATGAGATTTATCAAACAACACAATTAGAATTTTACTTTAATACTGACCTGAGTAACGGCCTCCCGTGGTCGGAGGGAATCTTTTCCGACGCTCGGCGGTTTCTCCGATTTCGCGATTTCGCGAACAAGCTTCTGGTAATCATCGCAATCCCGCGCCGGTGGTACTCCGGGGGCTCTCCTCTTTCTCAACGCGTTTGTATCGCGGCCCGCAACAGTCCCGGCGGATTCGTCTTTGACGAAAGTTTCTGTCTGAATTACGGTGAAGCTGCCTAGGAACTGCACCGACTTTTTTGCGCTGGTCTTAGTGAACGACGCACGTGTCTCCTTATCGGACATGTGCGAGCCGCTCTTTTCATACTCCATCATCTTCGATTCCATCTCCGTCGTCTTACAGACTGGATTGTTGAGACGCCCTTCCGGGACCCTCGGGGCGAACGTCGAAGGTTGAGTTTTCGACGACGTTCCGGGAAGATGGCAGTCGTTTGATTTAACGCTCCAGCCTCTACCTTTCGTTTCCTTCGTTATTATTTCCGGCCGTTGCGAGTTTCTTGCGGCAATGGACGCCGCTTGGCTCTTCGTGAACTTACGCCTAGCTACTTTCTCCCTATCGTTAATTTTAGAATGTCTTTCGACGGTCGTCGCATCGCCCCGAATCTCGTAATACTTAACGAAACTCCTAACTTTACCCGGGGTTATCGTTACAACGTCGCGAAATGATTGGTCATTACTTACGTTAGCTACAGGTGTTACGGCCCTGTTATTGTCATTATTATTACAAGGGCTTAAGGAAATAGTTTTCCTAGCTATGGCACACTTATCGTCGCTACTATCCTTTACTAATGCTAATGCCGATCGATTCGCGATCCTTCTTCGATCATCGTCGATCTCATCGTCCGCGATTACTTCGTCAGTCTTTTCTTCGCCGCGAGTGTGAATCTCCCTCGAAGCTTTTTCGCACTTCCTGCCGTTTTCCAGGCTGTTTCTGCGCGTCGCCTTGAACTCTCTACTATCGAAAATCTTGTTCATTGTCGCGGGTGCTCCGATGGGAATTCTCTTCTGGAATTCGTTGGCTTGCTGCCGCTCACACTCAACGCTAGTCTTCTTAAGTATCGTCTTGGGGATGCGAATATCTCGCGATTTTTTATGCTCTCGATTCGCCTCGACTGCACTTTTTGTCTCCTCGAACATTTTCCCGTTACTCGTTTTTATCTTGATCTTCTCTGATTTGATATCTGCAAAATTTGTATCGATATTCATTTTGGAGTTATCCTTTACAATTTTATTTTTAATCTCGCAGGATGATTTGTTGAGTTTTTCAATACTATTAATCTTGATGATTTTTTCGCTAATCACTGGAGTGTCGTTCCTGAGATCTTGAGGCCTTTCCTCGATCTTCATTTTCGTGAAATCTTCCTTCACAATTTCCTCAACGATTATTGTATCATTATTTACGTCAATAGCCTTGGTGTTTAAAGGAATGCTGCAAACGTCGTTTCGAGATCTTTTAAATTTAGATGCATTCTCTTTTTCTTTGGAAATTCTGTTATCGATCGCAATCGAGCGAGAAATATTTTTGTCATCTTCTATCTTTGTTACTGCTTTCTTATTCTCGGGGCTCACTATTTTTAACTTTATGTTATTAAAATTGCAGAGAAGCTCATTCAGCATGTCATTTTTTACGTCACTGGCACTTTTATTTTCTGATTGCGTTGACTTTACGTTTGAAATCTTAACAATCTTTTCTTCCATTTTTTTGGAGTTTTTTAAAACTTTTTGATTTTTTGTATCCATTTCTGTCGCATTAGAAAAATCATGCAAACGTTCACTTTCTGTCGTGACATCTGTTTCTAATTCCCGAATTTTATCTGATGATTTATTAGAGTCGCTTAATTCTTTATCAATGCTTGTTGAAGTTATAGCAGAAATTACCGCGTAATTCATCGAAATATCTGTTGAATCGTCAGATAGCATAGTTTCCAAAAAAGAATTTCGTCTAACTTTCACGGGTATATTCTTTACGAAAATGTCTTCCGACGGTAAAATTGTCTCGTGGTTATTCTTGGAATCCACGAAAGAATTGTTTCTTTCCTTATTCTCTTCAGGAAGCCGTCGAGCTTGCTCGAATTGGACCGATTTGAAATCATCAGTAGAAATGTTCTTGTTTGATTTAACGTCATTGCATTCGTTTAAAAAAATTGGCGATGACTCATCGAAAAAAGCTTTTTCGTTCTTGGCAACACATTTCTCGTTGATGTCATCGCAAGTTTTTTGAAAAAACTTTTTTTCTTCCCGGTGTATTCTTCTTTGTGTTATTTTCGCCGCTTCTTCAATTCTGCAAGCCGTTTCTAAACTTTTATCTGTAAAGCGATGAACGTTTTCCGTAACTTCTGAAGTATTATTACTTTGATCCACTTGTTTTGCGTCGTGTTTCTCGTTTGTGATAGTTTGTCCCGTTATTAACGTTATTATATTTTCCTTTCCGGTTTTGAGACTCTCATCGCTGGCTCGCATGTTCCATGATATCGAATTAGAATCCTCTTTGCGAATTTCCTCGCAATTGACGTCGTTATTTCTATCGTCACAATACGTTTGTGGAATCGTCTTTAATTTCGCGTCAACCTTGTTTGCGCCCGCCGGTATAAAAGGATCGTCTTCTCTCGTTGCGGAATTTCCTTTCTCGACACTCGACGTGTATGATTTATCTCGCGTATTGTCACAGCAATCTTTTACGTCCTCTCGGATTTCAGTCAATCTCACGGAAGAAGCGGCGCTTTGTTCGCCGGCTTGTTCATCGCCGAGAGTGGATTCGTAGCTTTGTGAACTGTCACATGGCACACCGTTTTTTACGTTAGAGTCGCGTTTGGACGAGGAAGAATTTGACGATTCGATCACGAATCGTACCTTCGTGCCTGTACGACATTTTGAATCGTCATTATTATTGAAAACATCATAACCAGGCGATCTCTTGTCATTTATTCGATTGTTTTTGTTCGTGGTATCTTCGAATCGATAGTCGTCAAACTTTCGAACGAAGTCACCGTCGTCGTCGAAAGGGTTCCTCCATCTGTCCGATCTGTCCAGACACTTCTCGAACGGAAGGTTCGTTGTCGTTACGCGAAAACAAACATCACCGTCATCCAACATATGCACTTTCGACGATTCTTTCTCGTGTAAGTTTTTTGTGTCTTCGGGATCCACAGAATTGTTTCTATCCCATGTGTTGGACACTACGTTCTCGAAATCGTGCAGAGTGAAAAAGAGCGGTGGATATTTGTCGGTTGCTTTTCGCTTAGACAACGCGACATCGACGGAAGACAGAAACGGCGGTTTCGATACGATTGACTTTGGAATTGGGTCATCGCTGTTGCTCGTCGTCGAGCTGTCTTTGACGATGACGCGACTCTCACGGCGGTGTTGCTCGCTTTCGACTCTTGGACAGTTCGCCGCGATGTCGCATTGCGGCTGGCGGTTTTCGAGGTATGCAGAATTGTTTCGTCGACATATTTCCGGCAGAGGCGACGGCGGCGGCGGACGTTTTTGCTGAGATATCGCGACGTCATTCGTGGTTCCCGTTACTGCTCCATTCGCTACCAACGGTTCGATCGGTGCAATTTTGATCTTACGTTTCGTTCGCCGCGGTGGCACAGGTGGTTCGGTTAAATTTCCATTATCTGTCAGGGAAAAAGAGATGGGACCTTAGAGAAATATTCTTTAATTTCGATAGAAGATAGAGAAACGAGAGACTTCAATTGATTTGAAAATGATATATTATTTGTGATGTTACTGTAACGTGTTTGCGATTCTTACGATTGTACATAATGCGAATGATGATATAAATATAACGGGCGAACGGGTAATTCCAGAATATGAACGCGAGAGGGTAACTACAACGTTAGACTGTCCGAGACATACTAAAGATGATTCCTTAGAAATGACGTGCAGACTTCCCCTTCCTGTTACACGGTCAATACCAAGCTTATATACCATTGCCAAGCTTAATTTCATGCTAGGTGTAATTTCATTAAAAACAGAGATATAAAAACATTGCATAATAATATCATGAAAATTCCAATGCATTTTATCGTACAAAATATCGTACAAAAGATAAAAGCATGTGTTATGTATGTTATTTAAACTTTACTTTATTCAAAAAAGGTAGATTTAATTAACACATATATGCTACTTTATTTTAAAATTATTTTAGATTTGCTGAACAGTTAGATAAGAAACTCGTTTTTATTCCTGAAATTTTTTCTAATAATTTTAATTTAACCGAGCAAGAGTTACGAACTTTAGTAGTTCCGACAAGGGCTTCGCTAAACGGATAACGACAATTCGATTACAGTGCTGCTGTACGTTGGCACAGTCGTGTATGGCCTAGCAGAGATAATAGTCTTTTCGCAAATAGAATTTTCTATGAGATTCCGTCATATGCGGTCAATAACAGCGGAAAACGTAATAAGTCGAGAGGTTTTACATTGACAAAATTATATATATATATATATATATATATGAAATAGAACGCGGATTATATGTATGTATAGATAGTTACTTACCTAAATGAAAACTTGGCGACTTGTTCTACTGACATCGAAATCTTCTATAGATAGCAACATACTGGCAGATTTTAACGCATTATTGTCATCAATGAAATCAGTCATGTATAGGCTGTTGGCGTTATTATGATTGCCCATAGCGCTGGATGCGGCACTGCTATATGCGCTTGAAGTATTCTGCACCGACGCTACGTCCGTGGTTTTCTGAACGATCCACTTGTTCATCATACTAGACGTTTCCGCCTCCGATGACACATCGAATTTGATGTTACTGCGAACGAGATAGAGAACGAAAGAGTTAACTCTGCGGATGCAGCGAGATCTTTAAGAATATTGATTAATTCGCAAAATTAATCATTTATACTAATTATTGAATCGGAAGGAGCGAATAACGCTGTATGCCTGATTTATCCGAAACTACTCGATAAGAAAATTCGTTTTTCCAAGACATTATCCGTTATTTTAGCAAATTGTCAAACTAATCATAGTCGGCTGAAATACTCACTGTAAGTAATTATTTTCTACAGAGCCCTGGCCCTGGTCATTTCTCGATTCTATGCTTTTTCGAATAGCGGGCTGCGACAGAACCAACTCGACCGTTTCAGACGAGCTCTGCAACATCTTCAGAGCGTCCTCGTAACGAAGGTTCAGCAGATTTTGTCCGTTTATTGCTACGATCCGGTCACCTATTAAAGAAAGTTTAACTAAAGATATTTACTTTGTACATTTAGTTATATTTATATTTATTTATGTTATTCTCTAATTTGAATCCATTAATTTTTTTTTCTATATCTCATTATATATCACCGTTTATTTGATTTATTCAATTCGTTAGCATTTTAATTATGATATCTACTGCGAATGAATTAGATGCTTTCATTTTGAAGCAATGTGAACATTTTACTTACGAACCTTTATTTACGTTTCCGGCCATATCGGCTGATCCGCCAACGGAGACCGCCTGAACGTAAACGCCACCGTCGTTACCCTCCATTACTTGCAAACCTATGCTACCACCGTGGCCGCGTTCCAACTTGATCGTGTGCAAAATTCGTTCCTCGGCGAACGACAGCTCTTCCAAACGAGCCATTAAGGATGCGGACATCGATTCGTCCTCCGGTATTCGGAACGTTTCGTCGTCGGTCCGTATGTCGGCATCTATCGAAGCAAAAAGCAAACAAATTTTAAGTAAAACTGTTATTTCAAAGATATTTGTAATAAACGTAAGTGATGCATAAAATTTTTATAGAATGAAAGTAGTTAAAAATTGTCCACACACAGCAATGACAAAACAGCGTTTTAAACATTTAATTTATTTAGAAATAAAAATTTGATTAAAAGGTGTTTTATTTAAAGTTTGTAAAAATTCGTGAGAATATTTTTGTCAAAACGTGATTTTTTTTTGGACGTGTATATGTATCTGATCTGTCGTTAGGAGCAATATTTTTAATTATATAAGTAGAATTGATTAAAATTATTTTTATTTGTATGAAAATTCGTAAAATATATGTGTACACCATTACTTACTTAGCACATACGCTTCTGGCATAGGTGACTCGGTAGATCGTGCCGATAGTGATTGAACAGACGATTCGGTATCGGACTTGAGAGATAGTGACTCCGTGTCGTCGGTAAGCGCGGTATCTTTCTGGACTAAGCTGCTGTAAATCGCTCGCGTTCCCATTTTTACACCCAACCGACGCGGTAGGCTGGGTGTACGAAAACCACCCGACTGCCTCGGCGCTCCGTGATTCGGTAAACTGGCCGCTTTCATCTATAATGATGAAACATCGTTTCGTTAAATAGAGAAATATGAGATAAGTATTTCAATAGCAAATTTGGACAGAATCTGCTGTTGGATGTATTTTAATGGTATAATGAGAGAATAGTAAACAATTAATATATAAAATGTGTGTTATACTACCTTCTGCAATGTTTTCTTGACATCCGCCACATTCCAAACTTCATCCGGAACAGGAAATTCACTCTTTCCCGTTAAACGAACTTTATTAATAGCGGCGTATAGTTCCTCCGGATTGTTAGGTTTATCTAGCTGGTTGATGTTGTTCGATATAACTTTTGGGAGCGAATATGTGCACTCGGTTTCAACTTCACTGTCTATCCCGGGGCAGCTATAGAGTTTGTCGTGCTCTGATTTCGTTTCTCTGGGTTCCAACAGGATCTTGTGCGGTGTCGTTAAGCCTCTCTCCGATTCTTCCTCTGTGTCTCGCGATTGACCCTCTGGTTCTAATCGCACGTTTACTTGCGCGTAAAGAACGTCTTCTTCGGACGAATAAAAGCCGGGTTCGCGACCAGCGTCCTTCGTTGTCGTCACTACAATTGTGTCTTTCTGAGGATTTTCGTTCTCTTTGTTTTGATATTCTTCCAATTGCATCGGATAATTTAATCTCTGCTGCACTTTAACCGCGCTCGCGATCGTTATCTTAGTTTTACCGTCGCCGATCTTGGATTTTAATGGTGTAAGTTTTGTTTCCGCCAGGGGCACTCCAAAATCTGAAAAATAATATAGATTGATTTTATTTTAGATATTTTTATATGACTGTTTTAAAGAAATAACATTTCACAAATTTGTGAAGTTTACTAAACTTTATTTATATTAATTATTGTATTCATAAAAATATAACAAAAATAAAAAACCGCGATAGATTGAGAAATTAATAGTAGTAATTAAAATATTAGGTTTGAAGAAAGTTTTTGTGTGTTTAATAGTTTCTGCCAGACTATTAATATAATATCATTGTAGTTTATTGAAATTTCAGCTAAATTTCAGTTCAGTTTTCTGCAAAATTTACGTTTTAAGAGGATTTCCATAGAAGAGGAAGATCAAAATTCGTGCGGCAAAGTGTCACAATTTAGCTAGTTTCCTATCGCGTAACTTTCGCGGAAAGTTCAAGTTTTAAACATTTTAGCAAGCTTATCGGTAGGTGAAAGCACGTGTACCTTTAGCGAGGCCCTGAAGCGACGTGAGCTCCGAGCGAAGTCTAAGGAAGAACTGATGATGCAGGGAGGTGAGCTTGAAGGCGAAGTAACTTCTAGAAAATAGAAAGACACTTTATGCAAAGGTCGTTATTGCAAGTGGTGAGCGGCAGTGCGGCACTCGATACACATTTTCGAGCACTTGCCGCGGCATTAAGAGTTCGCTCGATGCGACGAGCAGACTTACTTTCGATGATCCATCCGCAATTTGAACTTGCATCGTTTTCCATTCAGCTTGCTGTACACCACCAAGCAACTCTTACTGTAACTCAACGTCTGCACGTCCCGCCACAGAAAGTGGGCCAGTTCCGTTCTCTCCCTGGGCTCGCCCCCTCGCTCCAACAGTTTCAAACCTTGAGAATGTATCGCCAGCCACACGTTGCTCTCCGTTTTTTTCTTGCTACTCTTACTGTTTTTACTATTATTTCCATTAACGTTGTTAATATTATTATTGTTGTTTTTGTTATTATTGTTATTGCACGTTTCATCGCGGCATAAACCAGCGTTCTTCGCGTGCTCGTCCGAGTAAGGTATCATCGGTACATTTTCGCGAGAGCTTAATCGCGGGATCCCGATCCTGTCATAGATTTCCCGAGCGGGTTTCTCCTGACGATAAGCGTTTCCCGCACCATCGTGCGGCGACACGACGTCACGGTTGTCAGACACGGCGGTCTTCCCCTTTCTCTGTCGCACCATCAGTTTCTCCAGCTCCTTCGAGTCTACCGTGGCGATGTAGTAGTGCGAACCGTAATCCGGCAGGGACTGCGCGTGAGTTATGAACATCTCCTCGGCTTTGTTCGAGTCCAAGCCACGACGGTCGCGGTGAGCGTGGTGTAGCTGCGCCCGAAGTGTATCGGCGTCGACGCAGGGTTGCGATTGATGCCGGTCCGCGCTCAATACCAAGGACTCCGGCACGTAGTGTTCGAGGAGGAAGTAATCCCCACAGCCGTGCTCCTGTGAGATATACAATAGCTCTGATGAAGCAGAGAAGTTGCGCATGGATTATGTCAAATTTGTTGTCAACTCCGCCACAACAGATCAAAATAACGTCTTTAACTATTTACTTAAGATGTTGAGAACTGACTCAACAATTATTCAGCTATTAATATCTAGTATTGATAGTTGAACGTAGTTTAATAACTGAATTTATGGCATAGAAATTATAGAATACACACTATTGATAAATATTATATATTAATAGATATACATATACCGTTTCTATTTCTACATTTTAACATCAAAAGAAAGTATGACAGATGCAAAAAATGACGTTAATTTTGAAATATATTGTACAATATTTATCTCTTTTAACCCATTTCACTTAAATTTTAGAACTTATTATCTTTGAATTTAACAATCGATAGATTCACGTATATATATGAAAATTCCTAGGTTTTATTGTGAAAAAGAAATTAATCGTGTTTCATAGTAGAAGAGTGTAGACTTTTTACAGAGTCGCAATATTTTCTATCTATGATGTCTCATTTCAGCTTCTCATTTTATTTAAAATAATCCCAATTATCTAGAGTTACGATCATTTTTGAACATTTTATTGTTCCGTATTGTGAAGATAATCTCATTATAAATAGCGCGCATCGTATGAATCACTCGTTAACTCACGTTGACGTTGTAGTTCCCGAATTCAGCTTGAAGTGCGAGGCCCGTCAAATTGATTAATTCGGAATATGGGCAGACCAGCTGCTGCTCCAGTATACATCGCCTTATTTGTAGATATAGCAGATGCTTCGATATCCAACTCCTGGAAACAGTATGGACAATTAGTGGACAAATTAGTCGTAGTCGAGACGAAACTAACGAGTTAAGTCGAGTCGAATATATTGTCGTTGTCCAGTTCGAACGAACCTGATGCCACGAAGAGATGGCAGGAAGAATCGGAGCCGCAGATACAGCATGAAACTAGTCGGTAGGCCCAGAAAACCTTTGCTTTTACCGCTGCTTAACCATCCCGGTGGTGCGACTTTATTTAGTTTCGTGTCGGGTGGTAACATAGCGAAATCCCCGGCCAATAGCACGGCCAGCCCTAGAGTGAAGTTTTCATCGAGACTTTCCGCTTGAACAATAGCCTGGAAGGATTTGCGTATATAATGTGTAAAATGGTATATGTTATAAAACTGTCTGAGATTGGTTAAATCCATGCAGTTGGTTTAATCTTTAATGCTACGGATATAACGGTGGTTATACGAACAAATATCAGTTTAAAGATGTAAATATAATTATTTGTTACATCAATTCCTAGTGTAAACTGATAACATAAATTTGATACATGTTTCTATATCTTCTATTAGCATTTCTACTTATGCAATGCATGTAAGACACGCGAGAGGGAAAACTGAAACAGCGTCTGTAAGCCACGCTATTTATCGTGGAATTATTATGCGAGACAAGCAATTAAATGCAGAGAGCACAGGATTTGTGCATTTGGTTGCTTTAAAGATTATTTATTATAGCGCGATATGATACGCATTTCTGTCGCAGAGGTAATTTTCTATTGGCGCGGATTTGCAGAAGTAATCCAATTTGGAAGTTTCGAGTGAGCTCTCGAGTTTCAGACGCTCTGTAAATCGACCATTTATTAAAAATTGCACGATAAAATACTCCGGTCACGTTTGAAAGCTTGAATTAAGCAGCAGATGGACAGTGAGAGGAAGAGTTGCGAGCTTGAAACAGAGAGCTTGAAACTTGTCTTTTTAGACTAGTGAAATTAAATGCCACCAAATTCTCTTACTCTACTTTTGTATTTCAGTATTTTCGTAAAAGAGAGGTCTGGTACATATATTCGGTAAGCTGTAAGAATTTTAAAAATACTGACTTATTAAAAATACTGACTGATTAAAATGTAGCGGAGTAATATAATTGTTTTAATTATATTATAATAGCTTTATAGGTTCAAATAATTTTATTTTAATTTTAATTCTACAAATAATTCAGAATGATATTGCCAATCGATATTTTCGTTGATAATTTTATTGATAGCGTTATAAGAAAAGTGTCTCTCTCTCTCTTTGTAATGTTGGATTTGAACAAATGTTGAAACATAGATTTTTATGGAAGAAGGGATTGCGCGATACGCTCGTCGAGATCACATAACTCGTGGTTTGTGGATCTGTCGTATATAATGATTAGGCTTGGCGGCTCGCCAGAACTTCTCGCGAGTTCACGCCGGAATTTGTGGTCTCGTAAACAACCGGCCACGTCTTGGCTTTCGCGGCCTAAGTGTGGCTTTGAAAGGCCACCGTCGCGCGAGCATTACGATCGAACCCGTTCCGCTCGAGAACTAGCGGACGAAGTATATTTTTTAAAGGATTTTTGTCAGGATATATACCGGCAGGATACATTCTTCCGCGTACGCAGCAAATGAAAAATAATTCTTTCACGCCGATGTTCTTGCGTAGACGCCGTATATGTACATATATTTCACTTACTTATTGGTGATACAATTTATTAGCGTTTTGAGGTATGATTTTTCGCAGAAAAGAACTTTTACGAGGTAGGAAAGATATATGTGCGATAAGACACGAGATAATATTCAAGCATATCATCGAAAATTGATTTCCAAGTTATATCAATTAATTTGATTGATTTATATTGATGCTTTTATATTATTTGAAATGGACTGATGTTTATTATATCTTCATTATCTTTGGATTAACGTATTACATGTACAAATTTGACAATGCGAAAACAATGACCATTAGTTTAGTCATATGATTGATTCGCGGATAAATAAATGCCTGATTTGCGAATGTCAATAAAATAATGATCATATAACAACATCACAAATAAAGATTAACGCGTTTTTAAATATTTTAAATTACGATCGAACTTTAAATTTTGAAGAATGTCATTGGTCTAGAGTATAGATAATCTTTTCATTAATAATATTTCGAGAATATCGAATAAGCTACGTAAAATATCCGATTTTTTTATTCATCTTTTATTTGAAACGTGCGTTATTTCATCATTGTTCATAGAAAATTAACGAATTTAGTGCACTTTACCAGTGAGCTTACCTGAAATAAATCCCCGGCGGTGACCTTTTGAGGATCACAGGTTACCTCCACGCGTTGTCCTGTTAGCATTATTACGACTATCCGGCCAGAGTTTCCCGCCTACGCAGACGAGTTATTAATTATATCATCTTATATTTCTCTCTCTATTTTGTCTTTATCTCCGCAACTTTATATGTTGATGCAAATGTTTATTGTCAGATCTATTTCCCTTGCATCCAAGAAAATGTTAAATTATTTTGTAAAAAATATGGAATATTTTATTTTACGAATTGCATAAGTAATATATCTCTATTTATCATTATTTTAATTCTAATATCTTATGGAAATTATATAAATTACAAATATCAAGAGACACGGTAGTGTCTCGCGCTAAGTGTATTTTATACAACAATATAGGAAACCAACCTATAAAACATTATTTTTGTTTATTTTAGTTGAATAAAATTAATATTTATTTAGAGTACAAGAAAATAAATCGTTGATGTTAGTTTTTTTTATCTAAAAGACACGAAAGTTCTGAAATTATATTAAAATAATTCATGCTGCCTACACAAAGTCACACGTACACAGCTAAATTGAAGGGCGACACTAGGATCCGGTATGGTCTAGTGAGTGGCTAGGATACCTGGCTTAATTTCAGCCAGGAGGCTCGGGTTCGATTTCCGGTACCGGAATATCTTTTTTTTACCCCATTTTACCGTCATATAGCTACAAGTACGTTCTTAAGAACGTTCCTAAACGTAATCCGGTATGGTCTAGTGGCTAGGATACCTGGCTTTCACCCAGGAGGCTCGGGTTCGATTCCCGGTACCGGAAATTTTTTTTTAATTTAGATTTGGCAAAAATAAAAAGAATAGATTAAAATTGTATTGCAAAAATGGTGCAAACAAAATTCGTAGAGCGTTAAATAACACGATTTTTATTAATATTTTTATTAATGTTTTTATAATATAGCTGCAGAGAGGCAGAAAGTAATAAAGATATTAAATTAAAATAAATGCAATATGCTAAATGGTTTCATATATATCTTGAAAATTAAACATACATTTTAAAATCAGAAACATTTTTTAAATATTTTATGTTATGTTCGGTAATTGCATAATAATATATTATTCCATGGATCCGATAGTTACTTTTGTTTTATATTCTGTAAAATAAGTCTATATTTTGTGATATAATAGCTTGTTATGTGTATCTGTTATTTTAAAATTAATATCAAATGCAATGTTATTGATAGCAGTTGGATATGTGAACTTTAGCCTCGTCGTCTTCAATCCGGTATGGTCTAGTGGCTAGGATACCTGGCTTTCACCCAGGAGGCTCGGGTTCGATTCCCGGTACCGGAATATTTTTTTTTTCGCAGTCTAAATATTTTTTAATTTTTATTCATGCATCGTGCAATGTTAGTAAATATTATTTTAATTTTATGTCTAAAATTATGTTAAATTTTTTTATTTTTTAATCACGAATTTTTTGTGTCCTTATTTTGAAATTAAAAAATAAATTTCGTATAATATAAATTGATCTCTGTTTCTAAATAATTTTAAAAAAATATTAAATAATAGTGCAATGTAATTTAAAAAATGTGAATACTCTTTTATTAATAGCGTTTAATATATTATATATTAGATTTCAGTGATGTAATACGCAATGATACATTTTCTAAAAATATGATCAATTTCATGCGTTGTTTCGAGAACGATCATCGTCATCCGGTATGGTCTAGTGGCTAGGATACCTGGCTCTCACCCAGGAGGCTCGGGTTCGATTCCCGGTACCGGAAAATTTATTTTGCATTTCTATTTTTGCGAATATTTTAATCTAATTTTTTATAGTCTTTTATTTTTAGAAATTATTAAATAAATTTATATAATAATTCATAATTTGAATGTCGGCTGATAGTGACGACTTATAGCAAAGGGACCATACAATCTCCGGTATGGTCTAGTGGCTAGGATACCTGGCTCTCACCCAGGAGGCTCGGGTTCGATTCCCGGTACCGGAAATTTTTTTTTTTACAGGTTTTGCGGAACTTTATAAAGTTATATTGACAATGAAGTCCTCCATTTAATTTTCTGTCCATTCCAGAATCCATGAATCATGAGTTATTTAAATATTCGTTGTATTTTTTAATCATTTCTTTTGAAATTAATACGCGAGAAACGAATAAAGATCAAATGTAGACAATTTTGAACATTTCCATTAAAAATATTTCGTTTTATACTAGAAATTTGATTTGTAAAATATAGTTTGTGTGTGTAATTTTAAATAATTTAGAAATTTACGACAAATGGGAAGTTAAAAGTGAAACATAACCGTGTACCGCAGGTTATTTATAAAATTATTTACGTCCTGCATCTAATCATTAATCTAAGTTTAATCATTTAATCATTCTAATTAATATACTTTTATTTTCGTACCTTGACTTGTCCCACGCATAACGTCTTCGGGGGTTGATTGGCACGAACCACAAATTCAGGACCAACACATCGCGCCTTATTGAAACACCTCGTGGGTCCACCCACTGTTCTGTACAAGCGCGACGGTGCTCTTTGAACTGCTTTTCCTCGTCGAGCTCTTGGCCCGTTCCTCACCATAATTCTGAGAAAATATTTTTCATACGATTCTTCAAGATGAAACAGACCAGTTATCATAACAACGTATTTCAATATATCAGTAAAAAAATTAACTTTTTAAATTTTTTTATTTTATTGCTTTTGTAGGATTTTTGAGTATATATTTTTACATTAAACATTCTTTACACAAGTTTTTTGACAGATTAAAGTAACATTTTTTGTGGAACACTTTTCACGTGTACTCTTTTTAAAACCATTTTTAAAAGGTAATTTTTTACTAATATCACTATTTTTTGTACATTTTAATATTAGAAAATATCAATTTTATATCTTAAAAGCAGTGAAAAATTTATAATCTTTATTTTTTATCGTATTTAAAAATAGAAACTTCTTTGCTTATTAAATATCAATTTGCATACATAGCAAAGTTCTCAACTCCTATTTTTTTTATAAATTCCTTCGTTTCAATGTTTTGTTGGATCAAAAATATACATTTAATGCATATTGATTAATATGAATAGACATTAAATATATATCTTAAATACACACACAAAGAAGAAGTTCATAATTATTATATTTTTAGCAGCAAGTAAATTAACCAATGACTATCTTAAGTTTTCAAGACTACTTGACTGTGATTGGTCAATTTTTTTGCCATGGCCTTTACAGTAGTCAATACTGTCGATAAAGTCGATAGTCAGTTGCCTAACACCTCGTCTAACACCAAATGGTGCAGATAGACTGATAGACACTTTTTTAGGCGACAATGACCAAATCATATAATCACTGCATTTTTGGCTTTTCGCTGCATTATCTTCGCTCATAGCGCATGTAGGACAAAAATAAAGATAATTTTGTTATATATTTTCTCCATCAGCTTTCGATTGAGTCTACTCAGAATCCAATCAGTTCAGCCGTTATAGCAATACGATATAAATCGCGTATAGTCTCAACTAGCTATATGTCATAAAAGACATATCCGGTCTTGCGGCTCGATCGCTCACACGTACACCTGACGCGAGACATTATTGTGTCTCTTAATAAAATGCGCAATAAATCTGTAGTATAAGTCAAATGTAATCGAGCTGACGTTGAAGAGGCTGGTTTCGTTTTTCTCGTCTTTTTTTCTGCTGCTGCGTGCATGATTAATATGGATCGAGCCAAGTGGAGCTTTTCATTCGGCATAACATACCGCGATGCACTTAATTATGCAACGAACCGAAACACGCCTATGGCAAAATTTCGCACAGACAGCACGTAGAACACGATCTTGCTATATGCAGCGATGTTAACGAACTCTGTCGCACCGAGTTTAATTAAACTTTAACTGGAATAGACTCCGGAAATGCTTTTTTAGGCAGTCAACGTTAAATGCTTCCTTGTCTTTCTCATTTCCTGTCCTTCTCTTCTCTTCTGTCGTTCACACCGAGAACTTGGTGCAGGAAGAACGCGTTGAGGTAAAAGCTCGCGTGTTTTCTCGAGGCCAAATTAATTTTTGCAACGTACTATAGGGATGTAATGTCCACAGGAGAGAATAGTAAAGATTTGTGAAAATAGTACGAGAGAACATACTTGCATTTACACAATTAAATAGAGATATGGCATTTTCGATCGAGCTGGATCTTTATAGTTTAATAATATTTTTGTGTGAATTTATATACTTTTAATTTTAATTTAATCACATTGACTCCAATTTATTATAATTTCTAGATACAACAAAAGTTGTATTAATTTCCTGTCCAACTGCGCGCTTTTTGTTTTATTTTCGCTCGACTAAATGTCATCATAAAATCTAGGACTCCGTAACTCTCACGAAGTTCAAAAGTTGTCGCCGCGTGCCGTGTTTTGACTTTTCCACGACATGGACGTAGAGCAGTCGATCGGCATGCATTCGATTGCCATTAACTGCATCATCTAGCTAATTTCACGTGCTCCGGGTGTATCTTGAGCTGTTCGAAACCACGATGTGTCAGAGGAAAATTGTCTCTGACGCTTCTCTCTGCTAGAGTGAACTTCGTAAGCGCTTATTAACACGAACATATGACTGGGAGGCAAAACTTAATAATGCGGGTCGCACGTGAAGATCGCGAAACTGTTTCACGTCCCCCTGTGTCCTCAATTACCTCCGAAACGCCCGCCCTCGTCACAAGATCGATGAAATTCCGGCAGAGAAAGTGTGAATTTTAAAACAAGAAATATGAATTTCTGGGTTATTCATAATGCGACATTATCGTTATACAAAATTGCAAGTTTCCTCGTTTTCGCACAGTGTACAGTGCATAATGTTATATATTGGCGATTTTCAAAGGAATGCTAAAACCTTACGAGACCTTTCTTTTTACTTTTTTTACTCGGAGAGATTCTAAATAAAAGGACTTCTTTAATTAAGGAATGGGAAGTATACAGAAGCTCCTTTCTTTTTTTCTTTTCTTCTTACTCTAAACGAAATTGGTTATTGATTAAAATTTTATCCGCTAGCTCAGATGGTTTGTAACGATTCGAAACAGCAAATTGCAATCGGGATTGAATGCTCTTCTCTAATAATGAGTAACACGCAATTTGTTACTCATTTCTCTGACGAACATCCTACTTTCTTCTTTCTTTCATCGTGATAGAAAGCTGATGTATAATAGAATATAGTGAACTGACGTAGATAATTGAGTATAATATAGGAAACAAAAGAAATTACCTGGGAGGCTTTGCCGGCGGCTCTGTATGGCTGTTGCATTCCGAATCGGAGAGAGCGGTTTTTCTCAGAGTGGTGATAATTCGAGGTGGCTTCGGGGGTCCCTGGATACCCCTTAGTCTCATGGTTGCTGAATTGTGTTGTCGTACCGTTTGTTCTTCTTTTCGCGGAACGCCGACGTATCGAGGCTCGGCTGTTGCGACGCTCGGTTGCGACAATCGTTTGAAATCCTCGTCAGCTTGTGTCCTGCTCGGTAGCTGCGGGTTCGAGTGTTGCCTTTGCAGGAGCACCCTTCCCGGAGGTGTTCGTCCGTACATATCTTCGCGAAGACGCTCATTTGGTTGCGAAGTTACGTCGGGCTGAGAACGACCGGTATTCGAAGGATGCCTATTTCGAACGAGTTGGTATTGGTAATGTCTCAGAATGAGAAAGGGACATTGCGCCAATAGGAAAAATTATTTAAGATTAGAAGTAATTAATCTCTGACGAACATTTGGGACCGAACGACTTTAAATTCGTGAGAATATCCGCGCTCAAATGTAATATCTTTCTCAAAGCTTTTTGATTTATAATGAGAAACTATTGTGCAGAATCTATAAGACTGTTTCCATTCTTATAATTCACGCTTACAATGAACTTAAAAAGAAATTAAATCTTTTTCATCTCAGAATTTATATTTAACCTCGTGAGTTAAGAAATAACAACTATATGAAGGCAATAAACATGAAGAATACAGGTTGTATAAATTATGATAAGTTAAATTACAAATATAATTGATTGGCACAAGTAAAGAAGTGCCTTTTCGGTCGGGCTGAATCTTTGTAGCTTAATAATAAAAATTGATTCGTTTTTCTGGCGCGTGTAAGTATGCTAACGATGTCCCGCGCACGTACCTGTTTATCGATGACGATCCGTAAACGTCGTCACCGTGACAGATCGGGTGAGTTTTTGCCGACAGTCCATTGACTCGCACATCCTGGGAGCTCAGGAAGGGCTTAACTGGCAGGGCATATATCGGGTCGTTGTAAACATTCCCGTCGGGATTACCGTCGGCCATCGCGCTCGTCGCCGTCGGCAGATTGCCGCTACTCCTGGTGTGTTGAAGCCGCGTGTAAACCGGTTGCGAATACGTCCTCGAGTGATGATGAATCCGACGTGCCGTCGCTGGTCCTATCGATCGGCTGCCGCTTTGGATATCCAGCTGCGATTGAAAGTGCGCCCTGTAAGCGCTGAGGGCGGTCTCTCGTTGTTGTTGTTGTTGCTGTTGCTGCTGCTGCTGCGAGTCGCACAAGCTCGTTAAATTGGGATGCGACTGGGAATTGCGTGATTGTGCTCTGAAATGCGCCCCTTTTGCGTGCTGGTAATTGTAATGATGACTACCATGATCCTGCTGACTCTTTGGTAGCTGCTGCGTGTGATCTTGTTGCTGGTGAAGCGAGCGAAATTGATTGACTGTCCGTTGAACATGATTATGTTGTTGTTGTTGCTGCTGCCGTTGGACAATTAACTGATTTGACAAATGTTGCCCAATATGAGCCTGATATTGAAAAGGTTGACCATTCATAGCTTGGACATATTCCTGCTGCTGTCGTAGTGGGAGACTGTAGATCTTCTGCTGATTCAATTGTTCGACCATGTTTCGTGTAGGGCACAGGGCATTCAGCTGATAGTGAACTGCTCGTTTCCGCGCTGCATATTGCGGCGACTTCACAACCTCTCGATACATCTCCATCACTATGTGCGTGAAGGGCCTTGCTTGTAGACGCGTTCGGCAATATTCGGATATTACCTGCAAAGCGAGAATATGATACTGTCATATCGTCGAGTCGTGTATTAATGGCGTAGGTAGCTTTTATTGATATTTGATAGCGACAGGAAAGGATCCGCAATAGAAGCGGAAATTGCACAAGTTATAGTTCTATATATGATTAACATTGTAAAAATATAAATACTTTAATGAAATAATTCATGAAAAATTCAGAATTTGAGATTTCAGAATTTAATTCTATTTTTTAAATGTCAATGATTAGAATAGAATACAATTAGCCTTATCCTGTTGTGAAGATAGAATTACTTAATTCATATATATTATATATATATGTATATATATCAGATAAACGTTCATGCAAATCTGAAAGTTCGCAGTAATCATCGCAGACATAATATGATCGCGCAGATGCGTTTATCGTGCTACCCAGCGCGCCGATTATCTAGTTTCGAAACTTTCGCATCGTGCAGGAGATGAACTATTAGCTTAAGAAGACAATAGTTGTTGCCGGAATTCTATAGATCCAGCTAAGCTAAGATCCTCGAGGAGAAGTACCGGCACCTATTAACGCGTCATTGTGTTCTCTATGATGATGAATGCGAAACTTCACGCACAGTTATAGATTTAATAATATTATTCTCTTTTCGCAAAGATTTTATAATGAAATAATCATTGTCGACAACGTTAAATATCTATTTGTACAGTTAATTAGAATGTCGCTTTTGGATTTATGCATCGTAACGCTAGCTTTCAGCTTTATTACTCGCAATCAACTAGGATAGTTCTAATCAACGTTAATTAGGTGATAAACGCGTTCGTAACGTTTCGTTGCCCAAGTATTTCTTCTTTCAATTTTTAACATAGATAAAAATAGGATATTTTAAGCTGATAAAAAAATTGGTTTTAAATATTGCTTAACGAGGAAGTCAATTCTAGTGTCAAATAGTATGTTATAAATAATGATTTGATGATAAAATTGCCAGTAGTCAAGAATGGAATTCAAACAAATATATTAATCAGTTAGAAAGTTTAATGCAGAAGTGTTCTGAAGCTAAATATAATAAATAGGACAGCCTTTCATTCAACTATGGTACAAAGTTTCTCTATATACGAAGGCAATGGACAGACCTGAAGCTGATATGCCGTTTCATTGCACTGGGATATTAAGGAATAAGCGATGTACGGGAAGAGTAATAGACGTGTAGACTATTATTCTTAACAAATAACGGCAAATCGTTTCGCTGGATAGCTTAGTTCGCGCCACGATTGGCATCCACCGGCTGCGAAGTCAGTGGGGCACTCGTCTTAACCCCGGTGTGTTCAGCCACAGGCTTGCTTTATCCGCGCGGATAGATACGGTCAGGCAAAGTAGGTACTCGAACGGATAATTTATTGGCTGCCGAGGATTCCTCCTAGAAACTGCGGTTCCGCATTACGCCGCATGCCGTGCTCTCGTCCTTCCGCCTCTCCGCCGACCGATTTCATCAATTTTGGGGGTTATCGGAGTTGCAGAATTATTATCGTGACCCGAGATGGACGACTTATTAGACGGCCGCCCGCCTCGTTGTTTGCGGGCGATAACGGCCGCCGCGTTTTTGAGATTGCCGGCCGTTAATCATCGAGCTTGGCGAAATTATCGTATAGGTATATGTGAGCCACCACCTTCGCATACAATTTTGCGCTCGGAACCGCCACTCATCACGCCGTTCGAGGTGCGCTAAACCCCCGGAAGATCCACGGAATTATACCGGTTTGCGAATTTATTTCTTGTAATGTCGCAGTCGCTTAATGATCCCGTGCCTATTATACATAAAGTAATCTTTTGAGAGATTTGGACTCGCGCAGATTTATCGATGGCTTTATTGCGCTTGCAATGGACTCCGTTTTAATCTTCGTTCTAACTCTTGCATTCAATATATCGTTATTCATTTGAGTTATTCATTATAAAATCGGAGTGCATATTTTATGTAAATTTTTCGACTGATTTCTGGAGCTGATATGCTAAAAGTCGGATAATATTACGATCTTTCTCGCACAAAAGTTCCCTTATTTACAAATTGAATGTAAGAAATTTCCCTTTCTTTCTTTCTCATCCCGAGTTTCCTAAGAAAGCAAGGAAGAAAAGACGATTCTCTCCTTTATCTCAAGTTTATACACATTCCAAGACTAGAATTGGAAAATTTCGCATCGCGTTGTGCTCGCGTGCTCCGCGTTCGTGCGGAAATATATACGCTTCGCGCTGCAGCCTATATAGCTGTGTTGCACCGTGCGACCGCATCCGATCCTCTATCACGCTATCTGTTCACCCTAATATTTACATGTGAGAGAAGTCCGCATCACACGTATATCCCGTCTGTTTGCTGTCCGATCAAAATAATTTAATCATGCGCGGAGGCGTCGCGCGAGCCCGTCGCCCACGATTAAATTTCATAATCTTGCCATTTGCATCTGTATAATTGTCGTTGAAAATCCGATGAACAGGTAGAAATCGCACGTGTGCATTAACTCCCCTCGTTAAATCCCCTCGGTGTGAAACTGAAATCGAAAATTTTCGCGTCGACATCGCGTCGACATCTGAAAAATACATTTTAACTCTAGTATGCGAGTAAGGTAAACAGGAGTTTCAATTAATATTAATGTTATTTTGTTTATTACACGGATAGACTATGCAAACAATCGGCAGAAATCAATTCGATGCAATATATAGTAATCGTATATTTACATTTTATATACAAAATTTGTTTACTCAAATTATAATCGATACATAAAACAACACGCGTCTGAAATACCATTGGGTCTAACGTAATATAATTGTAAACAGATAAATATTTTTTGTTGAAATGTCATGCGTCGAGCATGCGATTGTATGTTAGGTAAATGACACATTTTTACAACAATATGAAGTATTTTCCATGACATATATCATTTTCATTATCTTTTTTCATCCTTCGAACGTATTATACCACGACTCATCGACCTATTATATGCGGTTGGCAGTTGTTGGAGCGTATATTCATTCTATTGGTTTTCAGTTTGTGTTAAGACTCTTATATACATATGTATATGTACATACATATGTATATATAAAGACACAATAATAAAATATATTATATAAATGCTATTCCACGTTTCTTCGCTGTGACAAATTCTTTTGCAAATTAAAAGTTTCTTGTTTGTTGAAAGGAACAGAACGGAATGCAATTTCATTAAACAGGATTTACACAACTTTTTAATTGTGGACATTAAATATCTTGTTAAAGGAGACTTAAATTAATATTTCACTAAAACAAAGTTTCAAACAGTATTATATTTGCAGTAATTGTAACTAGGGGCTACTATTATAAATTGGATCCACGTTTATTATTTATCTCAATGTTATCTCAATGCACGTTACGTGCTTAGCTACGGACATTTTTTTTGCTCCGTGCAGTTAATTAAATTTCACAATGTAGCATTTTATCAGATATTAAATATTGTTTTGAGTCGGACTGACTGACTCATTCTTCGAGTGTCATTTAAAGGTACGTATATTCACCGTTATACCACGACATCTCACATCGCTATTCCTTGTCATGCAAATCATCGGCATCTGCTTGCACCTCGAATGTCGTCTCGACGTACAAATGCTGCACGCGCAGCGTACTCGCCCTGCCCGTGATAGGTGATTCAATTAAAGCGAGCTTTCATGCAAGCCGACGGCGGACACTCGAGGGCCGTACGGTGTCGCGTGGCTATGATTAAGTCTATGTGATCTATCGATTAATTCTGCATGAACATTATCGAAGTTTAGACATAAGCCGTGCGTAGTTAAAAAAATTATTGCGGAAAAAAATCCGTAATATTGATTATTCAGTTCGACTTTCTCATTGAATTAAATTCCTGCTTAGGAATTCAATTGATCCCTTGATCGCTTGATCAATTTACCGAAGAGACAATAAAAAGTAGAAAGCAAGAGCATAGTTGCGTGATATTACAGGAAAATATGTGTAGCGCTCAATACATTTTTCATATTTCTAACGATAATAATATTCGTTTATAGTCTTTCTTTCTGCTTTCTGACAATGAGAATCACAATTTAGGTGATTATTGTATAAAACGGAAGTCATGAATAAAATGCATAAGCATGATGGTCTACATAAAATACTTGGCTCTTGCGATTACGTTCTGCATCAGGACATGGATGCATATGTCTATGCAGATACATGAACTTTAGCATGGAGACTGGATGGACACGTATATACACGTCTGCTGTAACATCTAGTCGCAGTTACAAGTTAAGGATCTAGTTACTATGACATGCTGCGTCTCGAAATTTCATCGTCACGGTAGTGTCGCGTGTTATTAGCGACAAATTGCTTTATTATTCTCACCGTAGAGACGACCCGGCCTTTCTTGGCGCACGCTATGCATTCCTCATGTGTTTGTGCCCAATTCCAGTCTGACGCAGCTGCTCGCATGGATACGTTCACGACATTGAATTACTCGCCATTTGTAATCGTGATGTGAAAATTAATTTTGCTATATATGTGCTGCGGTACATGGGATTGGGATTGATATTGTTAATCTGCGGGTCGTCAAGATCCAAGTCGCAGCGATATACGTTGAATAATGTATCTATGATCCGTATAATCATAATTGTCTGCAGAGACGACTTCTTTGACATATATTTATTAAAACATCTAATTTAATACAGCGATATAGAACCTTATTCATTTGAAATGTGTTATTATATTATTTTTTTAAAGTATATTTTTCGCGATTATTAATGACTGATTTTTTTATCGTAAAAAAATATTTTCCAAAAAATAACATAGGATATATATAAAAATAAATCGTAAAACAATGCAAACAAGCAAAATTAAAATGTACATTATTAAATATCGTCGTTTAATGATGAATGTTACGTTATCTAACTCCAGATATATCGAACAACCGGCAGAATGATGAAACACGAGAATCGAAAACTGTTTTGAGAAAGATACGTGAAAACGATGCGTTGTTACGGCGCGCAGAGTGAAATATCGAACGCTGAAGAGTCACTCTAAACGATACTCGTTGATTTATTTCGGACCGTCGATAGTGCACACACAATGAACTTCGGAATTTCGAGCTATCTAACCGTACCCCACGGCAAAATCGGTAGTCTCGACCTTTTATTAACAGATTGTACAACGCGCTGCGCACAATGCTCGCCAGTTAGGTAACGCGGAGCTTGCGTGTGCGTGTGCGCGTGAGTGTTTGTACTGATGATGAATGAATAACGTGCAGCAGTCTTTTAAAGAGTACGAGTAAAACGTATTAAATATATTTGTACATACAAATTATATTGACAAATTTTGAGAAAATTAACGAAAATTGGCGGAGATTGACGGAAATGTAACGGGAATAAGAGACCTTTAGGATGGAAATCTGGATAGAAGAATTTCATTAAAACTTAAGAACTTAAGACTTACGTCGAGCAAATTCATCAAGGAGGCACGTCTGCGAGGATCAGGCTCCGTCATGGCGGCCAACACTGATTGCAAAGCGGAAGAGGGCGAAACGGAAACGGTCCCCGTTAACGCCGTTGCTCTTGGAGTCGTGTCTAATAATGCTCTGCCTAAGGAATACATCCACATCTGGAATCAAAATGAGATTAATCTTTATTAAGCACATTAAACATTAAGTATGATTAATAGTAGGAGTATGTTTTGCGTTGATTAAAAAATGCAATAATTACATTAAATATGTCATGAAATACATTATTCTTTTACTGAGAATTTTCAGGATTTCTATTACATATATAGGTAGTTTGTAAATTCTCTTTTAACAAGTAACGTAAGTTACTCTATGTATATAAGATATTCGACTGCGCGCAGTGTTAAGTAGTTATACGTATTCCTACTGAAAATTTTTGAATTTGCCATCCATTTTTAAAATACACTTTACTCTGCACGCAGAATTATATTGTTGAATATATAAACAAAAGAATGGCTATTTAAAAATGTAGAGAAATATTAGTATCTCTACTCGCGATAAATTTTGATATGTTTCTTATCCTCTAAGTGATAGACACTAGCGTTAGACTGATAAATAAAAGCTAGAATGCTACTATCTGGAGGAAAGGGGTACAATACTCTCAGGAACAATATCTTATATCGGATAAGCTGTGCATGTCGAAGAATACATCAATTTTGAGAGTCGAGACTGCTTCTATCTAAAGCGGATGCAATTTTTCTTATTTTCGCGGGGTAATATGTATACTGCACATACGCATCTAAACATGTCTAGGAAGATTATGTAGATTCGAGGAAGTATTAGAGTTATCGACATTTTTATTCGCTGGAAAAACAATGTTGTCCGATACTTTCATCGATAGTACTAGAAAATGTCGACTTCATCCCTTTGATACTTGAAAACTAAGCATCGATGTTATTCGATACTTCCGTTGCTCGAAAAGAATAAATAGCACAGCGTCAGTATGAATAATTTCTTCTGTCATTTTTAATTACTTTTGCATTTTATTTTATTTAGCGGTTCACGATTTTTTTTCAACATTTATAATTAAACGTAAAGAAACGAGATTTTTGTAAATCTTCCCGTTATATATTGATATTTCGTGGCTTCTTTATTTATTTACGTAGAAGAGAAGTGATGTTGTTGCATATGCAACTAGATAGCACCTGTGCTCTCACCGTGTCACAGAGATCATTCTAACAACTCGCTTGTGCACTGTGTCACGCGATGAAAAATGTAAGAGCGACAACCGCCGGAAAGGCGAGTGCTTTTTCGCGCTAGCTTTATGTCGCCCAGGTAATCGTCGTTGTGTACCCTGATGCTGCAACCATCACCGGCGAGAGTTTCGTGTTCTCCGGAAAAGTGCACTCAGAGAAAAAATTTGTACCAGCAACTAGAATTTTTTTTGTTAAACCGTCTAGAAATTTGTGGATAAATAGCGCCTCAACTATGTATAATATAGTTGTAATAACAACAATAAATAAATTATTTAAACTACAAGAAAGTAGTGGCATTAACGAAAAATATATTGTGTATGCAAAAGGTATGTTGTAGTAACATGAATAATTATTCATTGTAGTGATATCAACATAATTTTTAGAGTTGTCTAATAAAGAATAATTTCTTATTTGTTAAACTAAAAGATTTATAATTAATATACCTAGGCGACTAGCGCCTGAAAATATCTGTTTTGGTCCCGTAGGGGGTCTCCTTATATACAGGTCGGTGCGGAATTTTGAACTCGAGAAAATGTACGGGCGATGCGACGCCTAGCGGCGTCGATGCAATCTATTTATAATCCAAAATTGATTAATATATATGTGGGTGAACACACCCTGACTGGCGAACCTTAGAAGGATCGCTGGAAAAACCCTGCTGAGTGACCCTAGTTATAGGAATCGATGTTGAATTTTAAACACGCAAAAGTATACTGGCGATGCACCGCGTAGCGGGCGCGAGCCGAACTCTCTCGCCGCGCGAGTCCGCGCTGCCGCCCGCACCAGCTTCTGGAAGTATGCTACACAACAAAAAAATATTTGTCTAAACAATAAGTCAAGGAGTTGTCTAAACTTGAAAAATGTTATTGTCATATCTTGTTTTATGGAGTCTATATAACTATAATAATTATAGTTGAGGCGATATTTAACTTTCAACTAATAGTTGACAAATATTGTTTCTGTGACTATACTTTTATGGTATTCAGTACTATTTAGTTCCTATTACTTCGGAAAACTAGTTACAAGTAGTTAAACTGCAGAGTTGCCAAAAAAATAGTTGCCACAACTATTTAGATTTCTCTCAGTGTGGAGTCGTGACGTGAATGTCAAGGTGCACGGGACTCTGTTATCAATGATGGATTTAGGACATTTTAGATCAAAAGCACAACTCAAGTGAAAAATATTTTTAGAGGCTAATTCTTCGACAAATTTTGATTGAAATATTTGTAAAAACACCCCGTGTATGCTAGTGCTTTCGTAGAAGATTAAAAGTTACACAAAACGTAAGAAAATAATATGCATTTGTTTAATTGCATAATGCGTAATGAAATTGTACATGTAATTACTTTCAATTTATATTGCCATGAACAGTGTAGACTATAAAATATTCACACTTTAAGTTCATGCACGATCTAAATAAGTCGTATAGAATCGGAACAAAAATTACAGGAAAGTTGCATAAATTACTATCATAATTTTTTTTATTATAGTAGAAGCACATTTTGTAAGATAAAAAACCGAACTTTCTTTTGTACCTTTTGATTACGATGTCTAAGTAGTCTCGCCTTTCATAGCCTCTCATAGAAGTCTTTCATTATCGCCTTCATGTTAAGTGTACTAGTAATATTAAATTACTAACGAAGTGATAATTATTTCTAACTTAAAAGTGCAGTGAAATTTATTATACTTTTTGCTCTGTGTGCAGTGAAGCTTCTCATTTTTCTCTTTCGCTAGAATCCTGTTGGACGAATCGAAATTTATTTTTTGATACGCTTTAAAGTATCGTTAATGGAGATGCACCGATACTTTATTTGAGATTGAAACTGAATATTACATTTTGATGTTAGTTTACGATACAGACAGACAGAAAGTAGATTGAAATACTAGATCTTAACGAATTTTATTGAAAGAACTTTTGCATTTTGCATTTAATCGATACCGTGCTTTCGAGATAATTAATAATGGCTTATTTCGTAATTTTACATGAAAGGAGAAATATTTTTTATTGAAACTTAGAATATTTTTTTATTTCTATTTTCAAATCATTGATTTTCAGAGTAAATAAAATGTAAAACGCGGAAGTTAACGATCTTTTTGGTACTGAATCGCTCCTCTCCAGTTTTGGTTTTATTTACGTTATAACTTCCATCAATGTTTATTTAAACCATCATGTTATTTCTTTTTGAACATTGATAAATACACATTGATGTATTTATAAAGCGGAAGATATCTAAGTTTTTACGATTTTTCATAACGGATATTTCTAACCGTAAAATATTGAATCGTAAAAGTATATCTTCCATCTTTTGTTCCTTTCTCACTACAGGGTTTTATTCACTTCTGTCATATAACTCTATATAAGTATTATACTCACTATCGTAAACGTCGGGAGTTTTACTTCTATGCTATTTCAATAGTTACGAACGTTGCGCAAACGTAAATTACGTACGTACGCGTCTCTTCGCGCGCTTAACGAGCGATGCGGATGCAGCAGGGTGCATCAAGATTGCGCGCTCCGCGAGGCCTTATCTCTTCGTTAGGGGCTGGGGTGAGATAAGGAGAGGCTTTGGAATTTGGCGATATAAAAGAACGATACGGCCAAAGTTTATTTATCGTGCGCGTCGTTTGTTCTCCCTTTAATCTGCAGGAGATAAATATACCGGTGTTCGCGTTGAAACAACGAGGCTCCGTCCAGCCGTCAACGAGAAGAAAGGATGGCGCTATAAAGGGGAGTGAAAAAGATTGCTGAGGGTGGAGGGTGGTAGAGAGAGAGCGCGAGAAAATCCGACAGACGTGCTTGAAAAAATGTGAGAGGGGCCATAGGAACGGCGCTAGGATTTTGCTAAAAGTACACAAAAACCGGCTTCAGTCTCTGTTGCATCTCTCTTCGTTCTTCGAGTTCTTCGAACAGTCGGCCTCGGCGCGGCGCGGCGCGGCCCCGTTAAAAATTCACCCGGCGCTGAAACGCGGAAGTCGAGCAAATAAAAAGTCGTCGAGCCGTCAAAGGACGACTATGGCGGCTTAATCCTCTTCGCGTTGAAAGGATTTTAATAGGATACGTTAATAATTCTCCGGCGCGCGGGTGCTCTTTTAATTATACCATCGGCCTCGCCCTTCCGTAAATACCGCTATCATTTATACACGCGTTCGCGTATATAATTGAACGATCGGAGAAATTGAGATGTTCCATGACAAACGTGTTTTGTCACGTCGTTTCTTGATCCTCATATCTAATTTCGCGACGCGCAATTATTCGACTCTGTTTTGGATGTTTACCTTTGTCAGTATAATATCGCATTATCGTGATTGAACAGTCGAAAGCTCAAACATTTCATAAATCCAGATAACAATACGCATTGCGTAAGTACATTGAGAGGAAATTCGTAAAAGGCAAAGGAAATTGGTACAAAATACAAGTCGTTCAAAATTTCAGCTGTAATTTATAATTAGCCTTAAAGTAAGTTACACACTTATATAGTAAGTGTGTAACAAACGTCGGAACGTCTACTTTAAAGTCTCTCGCGTAACGGACGTCAGATCAGAGCGCAATTCGTTATTGATTTAATGGCGCGTCATTAAGTACTGCGTGCTGAATGTGACGTACTTTTTCCGAATCCGTGTCCGAATATACGCGGCCGGGTCGATATTCTGGCGGCAGGTACGCCCGAGCAGTTTCCGGCGGTGCGAGCTGCAGCAAAACCCTACCACGTGGTGTCAGTTCCAGCGTATGCGGAGTCACCACTGGTCCTGCTCTCGAACCACCCACCACTCCTCCATCTAGAACAAATATTAATAGAAAATATAAGATTGTTGTCAGAACCACAAACTTACTTCTATCTATACAATAACGTAGTGAAGAATCAGCAAAAATGTCTCTAAATCGAGGAATGTTGCTAAAAATATTTCGCTAAAACGATCGTAATTTATCATTTTCTTTATAAATAATTTGCAAAGAGCAAAGGCAAATTATTAATAATTCATATTAAATTTTTTGAAAGGCATGAATTACGTTTAAATATAAAATTGTACGTATATTCGTTTTTATTTATAATTCATTCATTTTTAAAAAATATGAAAATTGAATTTTGTACGGATAAAATCTCTATATGATATGGCATAAAAAACGAAGTCTTTCAGACACAGCTTTTTGTGCAAAAATTCTCTTTATTTATTTTAATCGTATGAGGTATTCATATAATTATATAGAAACATATTTTTAGAGACACCAGTCTGGTATGCTTTGACTCACTGGGTACGACTGTAGTATGTTGTATAATTGCGATTTGTCGCTGGAAGCTGTGATATCGGCCATATATGTGCCAAACTACTTACGGAGAGGGATTAGGGTTATAATTAATTCTTCGACTAGTTATAGCCTACGGAGCGGCTGACAAGCTTAAAGGCAGACGGAGTTGGGGTCGCAGGTGTGCACGAGGGGATCCTCACTCGACAAGAGGATTTTCTGGAAATTGCCCGGTTTATTTACCGCGATCGCGCGCCCACGCCAATTCGGATCATTTGTTATCGTTTTTAACGCGTTGTATTTCTTTTCAACGTCTTCGCTGTCTTCTCAAGCTGTTTTTCTGAAATCCTATTCTCAGAAATTGTGTCGAACGTTTGAAACATAATTGAAAGGAAATCACGCCGAGGTCGAGGAAGATTGAGGAAACCGCGAATGAATTCGACCTCTTCTCCTCCTGCAAATCGCATTTTCCGCAAACTCGTAATCGTATTTTTATTTTTACGATCGTCTCGATCTGCGCTTCCAATTGCTTCGATATCGACTTAGATCGCCAATTTCTCCAACATCTGTACTAAATGATCGAGATCGAATTTTGCCGTAATTTCTGTATTATACATATATATATATATATATAAAGGGATGTATTAAAACTTTCAAGTATTACTCCACAGCTATTTTGTAAGAACCTCAACAGCATTTCATTCTGATGTCTTAATAACGCCACATTTTCCACACGGACCTCACTTTTGTTTAATGGCAAACAGCCTGGTCTGAAATGTTAGACCATCCATTATACTACTCCCGTTATAAATTCCGTATAATTCGCCATTGGGGTGCTAATTCTGCGCGTGTCACGGACATTAACAGCCTAATGGTGGGCTAAAGCGCCTTGACACGGAGAATATTCTCCCGCGAGTACTCCCTGGTAATTTAGCTAAGCGCTCCGACCGACAAATTCTTCCTCTTCCGCCGTGTCCCCGTAAGCGCCCTAAGGAAATTAGCGCAGACTGCCAGAATCGACACGTTAAACGTTTAATACTGAGCACGCTCGATTAACTTGAATTAATATGCGTGCCTATACGCTTATATCGTTGTCGTATTTCATTTTGACTGTAGAAACAAGGATCTACATATCCGTTTAAAATGTTTCAAACCAATGCACGTTACTACGTGACAATTATGTGTGACATTTTCGTATCGTCGTTCGTATCGTCGTTTTTTTTTTTTTTTTTAATGCAGTTTCGTTTAGCGATACGAGACGCAATTTCTAATTCTGCCAGTAGTCAATCTCCGCGAACGATCGGACAGGTTTCCGTGTAAATTAGAAAGCAGAGACGCATCGGATGGGACGCTCCCAGCGATAAACTATTTCCGTTCTCCGAAGATTTAAGCTCTAAGGAAATTAGGTGGATCTGAACGGGATCGACGTGTTCCCTGATAAATCTCGACTAATCCCTAGATGGAGAGAGACGACTCGCGCAATCACATCGGCTGATAATTAGCGGAACATTTCCATGTCACTTCAATTCGCACGTATCTATAGAGATACGTTTAAAATTGAATTACGTGTAAAAAAACATTACACACATTATACGCTTTTCAAGTAAAATCGAACGCAAACGGAATCTGATTGGTGCCACCGCGTTGTTGCAAGTTTAGTCTGGTTGTTTTTGAAAATATCAATTTGCGTAATAAACACGTTAATTATCGATGTCATTTGCATTTCGTTGATGGGAAGAAATACACTGGATAAATTGTACGGCGGTATCGAGCGTTTGCGTCATCTATCACTGTCTGTTTTTGTTACCGTCAATGTTATTTCGCCCTGTGTGTTGCACTAGTAGTCAATCTCTGTAAACGATCGGACTCGTTTGGGCGGCGGAATCCGATCGTCGACGGAGGTGCGATTTCCTGCTCTATGGGACGCAAGTCCTCGAAACTAATGTCACGACAATCTACTTGTTGTAGGTATGCAGCATGTGCAACAAAACACAAACTCGCTATTTGCAGGACATTCTGCTTGGCGAAAGTCGATGAAATTCTCTCGACACAAAAAAACGTTTACTGTTCGCGAGATTTAATATAAAACTGTTATTTATATACGAATTTTCACGCGGAAAGGGAGAAAAATATAGAATAAATATGTGCTATTGATCTATCTATAAATATATTTTTTTTAATTTTTTGTTATTTTATTTTAAAATAATATTCTTTTATATAACAGTTCTTTACATTCTTGCATATGTTAAAAATTTGTAATATTCATAGTTTTTATGATTTAATAGCGAAAGCCATTAAAATATGTTAATAAGTGGTTACTGAATGCATCATAGAGTTTTACATTTCTCTTCGTTTATTGAAGTATGCCGAAGGTGCAAGTGAGTCTTTCAAGTGCAATTAACGCACAACATTAATTACTGTCGGTAAATTATTGTAACTGCTTTACTAATATGAGGTGAATTTTCGGTGCATACAATCATAAACGTGTTCGCGAGGTTCTCATACATGATTGATGATTCGTGCGTATACTTCAAACATTAGGTCGCTCTTTCTACATCCCATCATATCTCTCCGCGCCGCGAAAGGTCAAAGCAGACTTCGCGTTACATCGCATTGTGTCTGTCTTCCATCGATCTTCGTTCAGGCAGTAATGCGTTATGGATACCTAATAGCCCGGGTCCTTCAAATCTTTTTCAAAAATGGAGAAGTATCTATAAATGTATATATATTTTTTCTTCAAGATTTTAAGATAGGCGACTGAAATATTCACGTGAATAAATTTAACATTTCTAACAGTCTATACTAAATAAAAAGAAAAGAAATATATAAAATAGAAAGTCCGTTAATATATTTAGTCCTAACTTAGAGTCCCATTTCGTCTCAGAGTCTGCTATCCGACGTATTTTCTCTCTGGCAAAAATCTTTAAATATAATCCGAGTTTAATTTAAAAATGAGACATAATTAATGAGATTAAATTTAATGATATATCGTGGAAAAATTAATTTTAGATCATTCCTTTTATGTTTGAAATAATTCTTTTTCAATCCCTCGGGAATTGCGCAATTAAATGTCCGGCGGAAGAAAGAGCCACATTTACGTTGTCGAATTAAATAGATATTAGGTTGTAATTCCGGAAAGTAGGATTAGGTTTCCCGAGAACTGATAACATTCATTATCTCGAGCTCCTATCGACACCCCGCATTATTGAGAGCGTCCGGAGATTGTTTTAGAGATTCATGAAGCACCGCAATGTTCACCTATTTCTTAACCGCGTTGGCGGATTCCAGGAAGGTGTCCCGTTCGCGTGGGTGTGACGTAGGCGTGCGTACGTGTGTGGACAGCATCGAGGATGAGGATGTATCCTTGTCTACACGTATGAATGTGCACGTACACATATATGTGCGTGTTTCGACATTGATGAATAGTTCCCTAGAGCCCTTCGTTTCTGTCTGTCCTATAAACTGACCGTTTGAAATCTACCCTCTACAATCCTTCTGGGCTTTCCCTTCTCCCGCCTCTATTTAGTGCCTCTTGTATCTGCTGAGTAATTCGATGGGTGACCGTTTTGGCGGGGAAAAATCGCGTTGCGCGAAATGAGGAAATGCGCCGCGCGAGCGGAGGAAGATTTTTCAGGTCGCGAAATTCAACAGCCGACGGAAATAACTCGAGTAAAATATTACCGACAGGTATATAAGTATAATTGAATTTTACGGAATAATCTGTAAAAAAAATAAATAAAGTTATCTATAAAATAATATTACGTGTGATTCGTTCTAAGAAAAGTTTATTAACGGGTACTTTGAAACATATTTAATTCTCAAGATCACCTTTTACAAAAAAATATCTTGGTGAGCGGAGGAAGCTTCGAGCTTTAGATACATCTCTCGCAAAAAAAAAAAAAAAAATGTGAAAGCCGCGGAAAATGTCGACTCGATTCGCCTTTGCGGTCCACGATTTACGATACGAGTTCCCTGCGGATCAGAGCCGGCGTTATTGGCGCGAGCATTTTAAAAAGGAGCCTGATACTGACGCGTCTCTTTCCACTTGAGAGTGCGGAAGAGAAATATGTTCCATCTGGCTCTTATACTTGCAGCGTGGCTTGTCGCGAGAGCTAGATATTAGCATAATCTGGTATTAGCATAATCAAAAATTTGTATAGGTACTTAAGGTAAAATTTGTAGTCTTAAAGTTTACGATACGAGTTTCCTGCGAAGCATTTTTAATAAATTTTAGTATTAAACCCCCAAATCTATCACACATAATGTCTAATCTTTTTTTTTTTTTTTATTAAAATGTCAGATTTAATTTAAAATAGCGCAAAGCAAGTTTAATATATTTTTTGTAAAGAATATATATGTATAGTGGAGATATATTTTTAGTATTTTATCTATCACGTATTTTTTAAGATATATAAAGTTAGATTTTTCTTTATACAAAATTATAATATTGTTTTCAAAGCAAAACGCGAGTCTTTATGTTGGGCATATTTTCATGACCGCTACTGGACCGTAGCTCTAACGTTATTAAAATTTA